TTTGCCAAAGTATGTGTTTACATCCGGGTTCCTGTGTGGCAAATGATAGCATACAAATAATGCGGTGAGCCCCTGGCTTAACTTCCATGCTTGAGGAGGAGCAGGGAAAGAAAAAAAGGAGGAAGATAATAGTAAAAGTGGGACAAATAACAATGTGATTAAAACAGAGAAGAGAACAAATGAAAGGAAAAGAAAGAGAAAGAGAAGGAGGAAAATGTATGAGGAGTAGATACAGGATATCTAAGATAAAAGACAAAGGTATTGTTTCTCCATACTTTTAACTTTCTAGAAATAATGGCACCAGAAAACCCGATGTTTTCCTAGATAGCTTATATACAGTTCTACGAGAAAGTCTCGCAAAATTATGCCAGTGAGGTAAGTAACCATGTATCTGACGGTAACTTTTAATTTTATTACCTTATTGTACATAACATTACGTATACTGGAAGGAATTCCTCATTCATGCAGAAAATGTTTCCTTTTATGAATCACACCATCAGATACTGCTCCCTAGTTACATTTGTTCTGATGCTTAATGGAATGTATGTAATTGAGCCCGGAAACACAATATGGACATCATCTCGAGTTCGCAAAGTAATGCAATGTTAGTACCAGCTATCTCTCGAATTATTTCGGAACAAATGGCTAATGGCATTCATCTCGTATAACATAGGAACAGAATGCCTACACATCTAGAGCGCTTGGGGCAGGATTGCTTTGTCAGATCGCCGTTACACCAAAACTCGTTCAAATACATTGGTTTGTAATGTGCATGGGCCTTTTATTTCTTTTCAGCATTATTTCTGTCTCTGTTTCCGAATATTTAGAGTCGAGTATATACTGTGATTCACACTGCCTTTACTTCATAGTTCTTCTGTTGTTGTTTAACGACACTGTATCTGGATTATATAGCGCGAATGTTAAGATGATTGGAAGAAGATGAATTTAAAAGTATTTGGAAGGAAACGGCCGTATTCTAATCGAAATACTTTTCTGGAATTTATCTGGAGGAACTCGGTAAAACCACGGATATTCTTAGTCATAATAGCTAGTGTTCGGATCAGGAATCGAACCGAAGTCCTCCCGAATACAAGATTGGGGAAATATCTGCTCGATACTTCAAATTCTCTCTGTTGCTAATAGATATATTTTTTCCAAATAAAAAATATACTCCGTAGCCTGTAGTCCGCAAGCAAACTATACCGACCGAGCGACCGCCACTTGTCTTCGAAGTCAGTGCCAACTTCTGCGGATAGAGGACGCCATGTGGTCAGGGCAACGGATCACTACGGCCGTTAATCTCGGTTATCTAGACCGGAGCCACTATTTCCTTGATATAGCTCCTCAATTATCCTCACAAGGCTGAGTGGACGCCGTTTCAGGCCCACTACTTCTCAGAAAATCTGGTAGCACCGGGAATCGAATCCGGGACCTCTGGATCTGCAGTCAGGAATATATACATATTTTATTTCTTGCTATATGTAACTGTCTGGTAATGGCCCAAAGCTTCAGTACTGCTATTGCCGAAACCCGCCGTTGGACACGGTCCTGAGCCAGTTTTCTTCAACTCTTACTCTCATAACCCATTTTCATAGTACTTACATTGCTGCTTCTTCCCTGACTTCTTTTTTCGATTTTACATGAAACCGGTATCACACATAAATGTATGTGCATTTCTTGCCACATACGTGCTGCGGGTTCAGCCCTTCGTAATCTCATATTTGCAACAGTATAAGATGAGCTGCATACTGCACATCGTTCGAGTGAACTTGCTGGTGAGTGGACAGTTAGACAGAGAATCAGACGGGCTGAATGACTAACCGATGAATGGACGGGCGAATAAGTGAATAAGTGTATTCTGTTGTATTCACTATTAGCCTTACAGCGATAAGTCGTTCCATAGTAAAACTCTAACTTCTCTGACAGTTCCATGTTCATTATGCCAGATGAAATGTGTATACTGTAGCATGTAGACCAGTTGCTATGTCATGACTGTAAACGACGCCCGTTTCTAGGCAACAGATTCCTAACAGGCACCAACGGAATAACTGGAAAACAATGTAATCTACACGATCCATCCATGTACAAAACTTTTCCAGAATTTTCTTGTGTCTTAATGGATGGACTAGGTCAGGGGTTCCCAAAGAGTTGGATGGGGGGGGGGGGGGCGGGGGGTTGTTGTTGTGAAAACTTTTTTAACA